GCGCTCTCTCCTGGTCCGTCTCTCTCTCTCCTGGTCTCTCTCTCTCTCCTGGTCTCCCTCTCTGCATCTCCTGGTCTCTCTCTCTCTCTCTCGTCCTCTCTCTCCTGGTCTCTCTCCCTCGGCCTCTCTCCTGGTCTCTGTCTCCGTTTCTCTGTCTCTCCCCTAGCCCCTCTCTCTCTCTCCTGGTCTCTGTCTGTTTCTCGGTCTCTCTCTCTCCCCTAGCCCCCCTCTCTCTCTCTCCTGGTCTGTGTTTCTCTGTCTCTCTCTCCCCTAGCCCCCCCTCTCCCTCCTCTCTCTCTCCCCTCTCTCTCCCCTCTCTCTCCCCTCTCTCTCACTCCCCTCTCTCTCTCCCCTCTCTCTCCCTCTCTCTCCCTCTCTCTCCCTCTCTCTCCCTCTCTCTCCCTCTCTCTCCCTCTCTCTCCCTCTCTCTCCCTCTCTCTCCCCTCTCTCCCTCTCTCTCCCTCTCTCTCCCTCTCTCTCTCCCTCTCTCTCCCTCTCTCTCCCTCTCTCCCCTCTCTCTCCCTCTCTCTCCCTCTCTCTCCCTCTCTCTCTCTCTCTCTCTCTCTCTCTCTCTGTGTGACTGTCTCTCTCTCTCTCCCTCTGTCTCTCTCTCTCCTGATCTCTGTCTGTGACTGTCTCTCTCTCTCTCCCCTCTGCCCCCCCCCTCTCTCTCTCTCTCTCCTGGTCTCTCTCTCTCCAGTTCACTGCCTATCTCGTCTGCTTATTGTCTGTCTATTGTCTCTCATATGTTCCCAGACCTTTGCGTGTTTTCATCCCTACAAGCTGTATGCACTCACTATGTTTTTTGACTTTCCACAATCAAAATTTTTCATTTATGTCAACTCTGATATCCATTGTCTTCTTTTCTCCAGATTGTTAGCTCTGTGACTCCCTGTGGACGCAGTCAGACAATTTGCAGGTATGTTGCTCGCTTATATTCTTCATTACTGCATGTGGATGACTCCATGATGTCCTCACTCTGAACCATTAGGAAATGGTCATTGAATTTGCCTAGTATGAGATGATGTTTGTCTGCTGCAGGCAGGAGGAAGAATTTCCTCAGTCTCCTCTCCGCCTAGTGATCAGACTGCAATATTGTAACTTTGTAGCAAGTCACAAGGTAAGAGGCTGCAGCCAGGGGCTGATCTGTGTCAGACATTTGTAAGCACAGAGCTGGCATATTTTGGTCCAGGAAGTAGATGACCCTGGATGATGCCTGAACAAAGATGGCCCCGTCTTTCAGGAGAGAAAAGCTGATAAAGCTATTATCAGAGGAGTAATGTGATCTAAACCAACCTATATACCTGGGAGTGATAACACGGACACATAGCATGCTGTGTTGAACATACAACATGTATCTGATGAGTATAAAAGCAGATGAGCTTATGGATTGGTTTCCAAGTTTGAAGAGTCACTATAGAGCCCCCGGCCTCATGGTCTTTGTACGTCTTCCCCCTCTCCTCTGACATTACCCTCTCTGGCATGTTGCTGGCTTTTACTGATATCCTATTTATAGAGTTCAGGTCCCTCCCAGAATTCTTGTCATGTACAGCCAGGGACGTCTCTAGTGCTATGGCTGAATGCTCTGCAGAGCTGGCTGATCCCGTAGTAACAATCTGCAGAGCTCCAGATAATATATTAAAAACAAATTCTAGAATGTTAACAGCAGAGGATTTCAGAGCAAATTTGGACCTAGGTGGGCAGAAGTCTCCTTGATAGGACATCTCCCACCACTTTTTTTTTTTTTTTTTTTTGTTTTAGCCCAGGGTGAGGTGTGCAAAAACTAAACGCCAAGTGAACCAAAAATGCTGCATGTGAACACACAAAATGCACTAGGCTGTGTCATATGGTCCCCTCCCGAAGAGTAAGGTCCTTCCTGATCTCCTAGGGGTAAGGCACTTTGGTCCACCTAACCAAAAGGCTTGGTTGAACCCCCCCTCCTTGTGGGCAGCTGAAGCTGACCAAGTACTGGGTTAGGAGCTCTCTCAAAGGATACTCCCCACAAGGCAGGGAAGACCAGAACCACAGGGCCACAGATCTTTCCACTAGAGTTCAGAGTAGACCCGAAGACTCACACCCTACCATCCTGTGGAGTGAAAACTGTGCAGGTTCAAACGTGAAGAAAGAGTACCAGTGTAGGATACCACTAGCTCTTGTGGCCTAGTAACAACTTTGCCTAGAACGTTTGGCCAACCCCATGAGATGTGGTGAAAAAAGTGTCCTGGCCACATAGTGGGGTCCCAAACCCATAGTGCTACTCCAGCACCCCCCCAGGGTCACCACTTCCAGGGGTTGCTTGACACTGTGGGCCCTCTGCCTTTCCAACCATCTGCCAGACCAGGTAGCACTGCTCAACTCGGGTAGCACTGGGCTCTTCGGAAACCTCCATGCTAGGAAATACTCCCAACCCACCAACTTACCCAAAGGGCACTTTAAATTTTTTTTTTTTTGTTTTCCATGGGAAAGGTCTCATGTGAACCCCATCATACCAACAGGGATACCTATACAGCAGAGGTCACCAAACTTTCTAAACAAAGGGCCAGTATACTGTTCAGACCCTGTAGGGGTTGGGCTGTGGCCAGTGGGAGTAGAAAATTACCTGGTGTCAGTGGGAGTAAGCAATGTCCTATTATTGGTGTCAGTGGTAGGAATAGTTCCCCATCATTGGTTTCAGGAGGAATTTTTCCCGTTTATTGTCAGTGGGAGGACATATGCCCAATTGTTGGCGTCATTGGGAGGAATTGTGCCCCGTTTGGCGTCATTGGGAGGAATTGTGCCCCATTGTAGATGTCAGTAACAAAATCAATTCTTTGTGTCCGTGGATGAAATAATGCCCTAAGGGCCAGATAAAAGCAAGAAAAAGGGCCACAGTTTGGAGACCACTACTATACAGTCAGCCATTCCAGCCAAGCCGGAATGATAGAGCTGAGCACCCCTGCTGGACACTGAGAGCAAAGAGTACGCTGGATCTGAGCCCAAAGACCAAGAAGCCGTTTCTCAGTGCCACCACGAAGCCTATTCTATGTGGCTCAGCTGACATGCATGCAGGTATAGCCACAGAGAACATCTTCCAATGGGCACAACTTTTATGGTGACCTGTCAGACAAGGGATGTAGCTGCAATGAGAAAGTAAAGGCGTGCAGGAAGGTAAAACAGCCGGAGAAAATATATGTACTTTAGCATTCTTTCCCATAATCCCCTGGTATTGTAAACTGGTGCTGGTCTACTGGGGGAAACCCAACACCAAATTCTTAGGATCACTTTACAGATGACAGCCGGCACTGAGAGGGTGATGCGGCTTCCATACCAACAATAAAACTACTTCCAGTCTGCGTGTATGTATGTATGTATATATATGTGTGTGTGTGTGTGTGTGTATATATATAATGTGTGTGTATATTCTATTATATATTATAATTTTTAAAGAAACCATGTAACCATAATCGGTAACTATAATAATTTTATAAAAAATACTAGCTCATTATATATTTAAAATTAGTAAAGATAAAATATAATTTGATATTTATATATATAATTGTAATATAATATAATTATGAATTGTAATCAATTATTTGTAAATGTTAGTCCAAGACATTTTTTTTTTTTCCTATGGGATGGTCACAATTTGTGTTTTCTATCAGGTTTTATCATGTGTTTAAAAAAACATGTTTTGGGCAGTTTTTAGACATTTTGCCAAGGCATCCCTGAAGAAACCTCAAGGCACCCCATGATGCCTGGGCACCCTGGTTGAGAAAGGCTGTTCTATGCAATGCAGGAAGATCATGGCTGGTAGGAAGGGCCAGCAAGGTGCCGTACATAGCTTCCTAAAAACATCATGGCACCCTGCCTCAGTACTCCTCTCGAGCCCTTAGCCCTGATGCAAGCATTGGGCTGGCCCTTGGGATGGGTTATGCAAATATTAAAATGTCTTGGTAGGTGGGTCTGGAGGAATGGGTGTTCCTAGGCAGGCTGTATTTGCATGCAGACTACCATGGGTAATGTCCACATGTGGTCCTGAACCTCCATGATTAAAAGAATCGAAATCCAATGAATGACAGGGGTGGGCCAGAAACTTCCTGGGGAGGAAGGAGCTAGATGATGCTGGATGTCCTCCGGCTAGGAAATGAGGCGGAGCTCTACCTGACTTGCTGCAGCTTCTAATGCATATGGTGACACGCTCAGTGTGCAGGGAAATCGGAGGAAGCCATTTCAGTCCAGTAGAGGAGACGGTACAATTGTGCAAGACTGGAGGTCAGACTTAAAGCAGAGCTCCACCCAAAAGGGGAAGTTACACTGTAAGCCTTTGTCCCCTGCTCCCCATTAAAGATTGGCACCTTAGGGGAGCGGGGGGGAGGGGTGGGGGTACCCACTCCCACTTCCGCTGCGATCACCTGGGTGATCGGAAGTGGCAGTCAACCCCAACCCGCCATAGTCTTCTGGGACAGCAAGCTGTCACAGCCGTGTGCCCAAACTGAAGATGCCGGCGCCGAGGAGAGAAGACCACCGGTGAAACCAGCGGTGGTGAGGACACTGCAGGATCGAGGGGCAGGTAAGTGGCTTTATTTTAAGTCAGTAGCTACAGTTTTTGTTTTTCAGGTGGAACTCCGATTTAGTGTCTGCAGCCTAAACCTTTTTTATTGAAGGCTTCAGTTCTCTGGAAGGTTTTTATTGCTGTCTGTGTTCTCGCTGGAGAGATTTGCCCTCTTTGTTCTAATGACCACCGAAAAGTGATTGGAAACCCCAAATTTTAAATTTGTAACTGGAACAAGAGGGAAGTCTTCCAATTGGTTGATTTTTGCTCACTTTGTCCCCGGGACAGGAAGTAAAGGGAAATCTCCCCAGGAGGGCACAGACCGCAAATAAAAGAGAAACCTGACGGGGTTTAAATTCCTAATCTATGCAAAAAATGCTTTTGATATTTTCAACATATATTTGTCTTCACAATAACAATCACCTGCATGTTGAATGTATGTTTGAGTTTCCAATGTCTTCTCTCCAGCATGGCGAACCCTCAGCTTGTACAGGGCATGCAGAATGACCTCACCTGCCAGCTCTGCCTGGAGCTCTTCCACTCCCCCATCACCACAGAATGCGGGCATACCTTCTGCCAGGCCTGCTTGACTGGGGCCCCCAAGGGCCAGGATCAGGATGGCTCCACCCTGTGTCCCACCTGCCAGGCACCAACCCATCCAAAGACCCTTCACCTCAACCGTCAGATGGAGAACCTAGTTCAAAGCTTCAAGCAAGTCCCGAAGGGCCACTGCATGGAGCACATGGACCCACTGAGTGTCTTCTGTGAGCAAGACAAGGAGCTGATCTGCGGGGTGTGCGCCTCGCTGGGCAAACACAGGGGCCACAACATCATCACAGCCGCTGAGGCCCACACAAAGATGAAGGTAATACCCAGCACACAGAAACGTAACACAGGTTTTTTTTAGAACCTCAGTTGAAATAAAACCAAAATCTGGGCAAGCAACTAAATAAAGAAGTGGGAGCGCTTTTACCTGCCGAAGGAATTTTATTTATGTCCATCCAGTTCTGAGATTCATACAGCTCCTCTGCATTGCTTTATAAGAAAAAACTAAGTTCAAGAACAGCATGCGCCTAAACTACCTCACATATCATTCACATTCCCCGTACCCCCTATCTCCACGTTGGGCATAGATGGTGTGACGGGAGTCACTTTGGGTGGGGGGCCCATGGAACTCGGCTCACTTTGGAGAGGTGGGGAGACCCGTCTCGGCTCCCCATATCCCTATTATGTGTAAGTCACCCTGTGCCTGTTGGGGGTACAGGGTGATCTGTCCTAATATTGGGGTGGGGGGTTGTTGATTGTTTAATGCCACGTGGTTGCATCTCATTGTTCTATTGTGTCTTGCTTGGAAGCAAACTATTATGGGATGTATGTGTTTGTGTATTTGGCTTGGTGGGTGTCTCCAGCAGCCCTCCCTACTGATGGGACTGTCTGCTGGTGTCTCTTGTTACTAAATGTAGATTGCCCCGCCCTGTGTCATTATGCGGGGGGGGGGGGGAGTTCCCTTGAATGTTGAATGTAGAAATGTATATATCTTGTATCTGTGTTAAAATAGTCTATTTCGGGGAAGCGGTATTATCCTAATGGAAGTACCCAAGTGCAGACTGTGGGTCGGTTCCGTTAGATGGTGAGGCCTATTATCCCTGATTTAGAATCGTCCCGCTGTTGGCCAATCTCACACTGCTGTATCCTCAACAGTAGAGTTTCTCATGTAATAGGTCATGACCCAAAAGTGGGTTTGTGACCAGGGGTGGACTGGGCCACGGGGCAAGTGCCCCCCAGGCCTCTCATGTCCCTACCATCACCCCAGACTTTGGGGTTGCTTCTTGCCTTTGATAAGCATCTGTTTTCCCATTAGTTCTAATTAATTTCATGTGTTTCAACTACCATTTATTGGGTTTTAACCTCTAGCACTTTTATTTTCCCTAGTGCTGTGATTACTGCACTATCCTTTCGGAAGGAAGCCATTGTTTTACTGTTTAAAAAGTGCATCTACATTGTAGAATATTGCACAAGTTGTTATATGGAATAAACTGTTTCGGAAATTAAATTATTTTTGGGTGGCGACTTCATGACCGAGGACAAATGTGGCTCCTGAGGTTCCACAGGTTGAGAACCACAATATCAAATCTCAGCCTGTGCTTTTAGTCTCTAGTAAATTTAGGCCTAGCCTTGCTCATTAAAGTCCTCTTGCTGCTGGCCAATTTTACACTTCTGTATCATCTACAGTCTATTTCCTGTAGTAAAACACCCGTCTGTAGCCTCTTGTACGTTTTGGCCTATTTCCTCTGATTAAAGTGGTAGTAAACTCTTCTTCTTTTTCTTTAATCTTTTTTACTTACAAGTAAAGCTTACCCGTAGGTAAAAATATCCCCTATACATGAACAGTTTAGGAAATATTGGCCCTTTTTGATAGCTGGCGCATGCACTCTGAAGGAACGGCATACCTGTGCCGTGGCCTGGGACTTCCACGTGCATGGGAGTGACGTCATGGCGGGCCAGCCAGCCTGAGCTTGCGAAACCAGAAGGAAGACCAAAGATGGAAGCCCTAGGGGGGTGGGACAGCACTCTGCTGGAGGACTTTGTTTCAAGGTAAGTCCTTCATAATGTACTAGTATGGAATGCATACTAGCTCATTATGCCTTTTTTTACCTTGCAGATTTTTTGTTTTTTTTTTTTTTGTTTACTGCCATTTTAACACAGTCCTGATACTAGTCAGTTTTAAACTGGTGTATCCTCTACACTTTTTGTAGTAGTCACAGACTTTACTTTTTTGTCACTAGTAAATTTGGGCCTGGTCTTGCTCATTAAAATTTCTCCTGCTCTTGGCCTCTTTTACACTGCTGTATCCACTGTAGTATCTTAACTCTTGTAACCGTACCTGGCCTGTGCGCTTTGGCAAGTTTTAAACTGGTGTATCCTCTACACTTTTTGTAGTAAAGCCACAGCCTTTACTTTTTTGTCACTAGTAAATTTGGGCCTAGTCTTGCTCATTAGAATTTCTTTTTGGCCAATTTGACACTGTTGTATCCACTGTAGTATCTTAATTCTTGTAATAGTACCTGGCCTGTGCTTTGTCTCTAATAAATTTGGGCCTAGGCTTTCTAATTAACAGTTTCCTACTGCTTGTCAAGTTTACATTGCTGTGTCATCTGTGGTCACCCAAAGCTCGATAAAAGACCCTCTACCTGCTGTATTTTTTTTTTTCTTGCATTGGTACAGCCCAGCTCCTCATGCCTTTTTATTGGCAGTTGTCTTTGAGCCCTAAAATGGCCAGAATTTAACAAGATTCGCCCTCCTTAGACCCCCAGTGGGATTTTTCTCTAAAATTGGGTTTGCCAAACCCTGGGTGAATCAAGAATGTACAGATTATCCCATTACCACCAATCTGACATTACATTACATTAAAATGATTTCCACTAAAAGGGTAAAAACAAACAAAACAAAAAAAAAAAAAAACTACACACAATGGGAGTGCCAGGCTGCTGGTGACCTCATTGGATCAAAGATTTCATTTTCTAACTCTACAGCTACATTGTACTTTCCAGCGTGAGCACAATGAAGGGTTCAGATGTGATGCGTTAATGCCGGAATATGTTTCTTGCAGAGAGAACTCCCCCAGCAGCAGGTCCTCCTGCAGGAAGCTCTTCTGCGGAAGGAGAAGACGGTGGCGGTTTTGGACAGACAGGTGGCCGAGGTGCAGGTACGTCATTCACATGACCAGCTATCGTAGGAAAACCTAAAATCCATCCATTCATCACAAAGTGTCCTACAGGAGACCGGACAACCACGGCTTGACAATATAGATAAAAGTAGAAAAATTTGACTATTGTCATTTACCTCCATAGCACCAGTCTGTCTGGGCAGTATGGTCGCCTGCTGAATTGGCAACGTCCACAAGCAGCTTAACTTTTCAGTAAGACACAGAAGCTGACTTCCGTGCAATTATACTTTTAGATGGTTTTTTTGGGATTTTGAAGTGTAAGAAGACAATGACTTTCCTAAATCCTGTCTCTGTAAAGAATGAGCTATAACTAAGAAAAATTCAAAGACAGGGAGGGTCTAATTGGGACTGAACTACCCCTAAACAAAAGGACAGTTGTAGCGGCCCTAAACCACAACTTGATATTGGCATACATCACAACCATAATTAACTGATTCAGTTCAATACAACAGGAAAATAAATATACAAAAAAAATAAAAATATATATATATATAACGGTTAGATAACAGGTTTTGTCCCTCCCCCGCCTATGACTGGACAATGAAAGAAAAGCAGCAGACCAATGAGCTTGTCTATTGCTCTCAACTCCTCCTTTCAGCATGCTACTTGCACAGCTACAAACTGTATAGTAGACTACACGAGGCTGACACCAGGCCATCTAATCATGAGTACAGAGCTGCAGTATTTGCGTCTTTTATATCTGCCTGGAGTTCTGCTTTAAGCCCAATCCCGGATGAGTTTTCCTTCTCCCAGAATCCTCCGGGTCTGGGTTCTCTGTATCTAACGATTCCTTGTATCGCAGGACACGGTGACCCGCTTTAAGAAGAATGTGAAGCAGCAGCTGAGCATCATGCGCTCTTACCTGAATATCATGGAGACGTCACTGGCCCAGGAGGCAGACAAGGCAGAGCAGAACGCTACCGCCGCCCTGCTGGGGGAGAGGAAGAGCATGGCCCATTACGTGGAGCAGCTGAAACAGATGGAGGGGGTCCTGAAAGACGTGGAAGGCCAGGAGCAAACCGAATTCCTGCGGGTAAACAATCAGGCAAACCATGTCATGGAGGGGGGGGTCTGCTTTTCTGTCTGCAGCAGATTTAAATCTGGGACCGCTCAACTTTAGTGTGTGTGTGTGTGTGTGTGTGTGTGTGTGTGTGTGAGGGATGAGTTAGAACATCTATCCGGTGTATCTCTTACTGTCACCACTGGTGTCATTCCTCTAGACTTCCTCTGGGGGTAGTTAGTCTGGCTGAAAAAAGACAAAAGTCCATCCAGTTCAACCATTTACACAAAAAAGTTATAGTCCTACACAGGGGCGGACTGACAACTCATGGGGCCCCTGGGCAATAGGGGATCATGGGGCCCCTGTGTCCTTGCCCAAACTCAAAAAAGCCAATGAAAAAGGTACCAGGGGCATCTCATGGGGCCCCCAACTGACCCTGAGCCCTCGGGCAGTGCCCAAGTTTCCAAATGGTCAGTCCGCCCCCGGTCCTACACCCACAGTTCTTCCAGAGGAAGGCAAAAAACCCAGCAAAGCACGATCCAATCTGCTCCTGCAGGGGAAAAAATTCCTTCCTGATCCCCCGAGAGGCGATCGGATATTCCCTGGATCAACTTTACCTATAAATGCATTTTAAGTTTTCGTTTGGACCTTCTGCAAAAGCCCACAGATACCGGTTGATCCTGCCGGTAAAGTCCACCTAATGCAGCTTCCTGCAGTGGGGAGGCAACAATGCTGCGCTGCTCCTGAATCCAGAGCAGAGTTGTCGCTCTAATTACAGCCAGTGCCTGCTTGCGCAACTACTGGGAGGAGAAGATGGCACAAGGAGCACGGCTGTCAGATTTGTTACTTCTAATTCACAGGCCTTTAGCTTGTCAATCGGAAACTGGCCACATCTAGCCCCGCCCACTGCTTTCTGGATTGGCAGCGCTGCCCCTGGGGCTGGAGAGTTGCTGTGAGCTGCAGTGTCTGGGAAGGGGCGCGTGTGAGACACAGGACTATTTGGCTCAGTCAGAGGCAGGGGCGGACTGACCAGTCATGGGGCCCCCGGGAAATAGGGGATCATGGGGCCCCTGTGCCTTTTGCCCAAACTCAAAAAAGCCTATGAAAAAGGTACCAGGGGCATCTCATGGGGCCCCCTACTGACCCCGGGCCCTCGGGCAGTGCCCAAGTTTCCAAATGGTCAGTCCGCCCCTGGTCAGAGGAGATGATGGAAGAAGGTTCAGTTGGTTTTGTTCTTTAGGTAGTATCTTACAGAGCAGCTGGCTTCATGATTTATGGTTCTGTACCTTCAAATTCAAAGTTGGCTGCCTGAATAAATGGAGACAGTTCATTATATCTGATTTCTCAGCATGATGGTGATTTACAATCCGATCTTTATACTGCCCTCATTCTAATGCTGTGTATTTAATTTCTTTGCAGAAATGCTGTGTGGTAACATTCAGGTAAGATAGAAAAGAAAAATCAGCATTTTATATGTGAAACTAACAACTCTACCGCTGCTGTAGAACTAAAAGTCTCAGCATAGCAGATATAGATTGTAGATTTCCTCTTTAACCACTCTTACTGTAGAGAACTCTTTCCTTTAGTGTCATTCAGGGGCGCTCTTAGGGTTGGTGTCACCCCTCCGACGATCCCCGCAGAATGGATCGGATCTGTGGATTGAGCATAATGGATCGGACTCCGATGCATTATACTCCCCAATCCGCAGATCTGATCCATCCTGAGGGGATCGTCGGCATGCAACCTATATGGGGTGACACCGGACCCGCTCCACGAAAAGGTAAGTTGTAAAGCAACGGATCCATCCTGCGGAGATCGTCGGCTTGCTTTACAGCTTACCTTTTTGTGGAGGGGGTCCAGTGTCACCCCGTGCGGTAGGTGTCACCCGGTGCAGCGCACACCCCCCCCCACCTGCCTCGGGACACCACTTGTGACATTAATATATATCCTTTTTCAGCTTATTAATGTTCACTTGTTTTTGTTTTTTTTATGGTACACCCCCTTAAAAGCGGAGCTCCACCCAAAAGGGGAAGTTCAGCTTTAAAGACTAGTCCCCCACTCCCCATTAAGGATTAACACCTTTTGGGGGGAGGGGGTACCCGAATTTGACAGCTACCCACTCCCACTTCCGTAGATTTGTTCTCCCTCCCCATAGTCTTCTGGGACACGTGACAGGTCCCAGAAGACTACGAGGGTCCTTCACAAAGTGCAGCGCTCCTCGCGCATGCGCAGTGGGCACCTGGCTGTGAAGCCACAAGCTGTCACAGCCGGGTGCCCACACTGAAGATGCTGACGCCTGGAGCACCAGATGGCTGCTGAAAGGGGCTGCGGGGAGGACATTGTGGGACCGAGGGACAGGTAAGTGGCTGTTTTTTTAAAAGTCAGCAGCTACAGTTGTAGCTGCTGACTTTTATTTTTTTGACAGTGTGAGTGGAACTCTGCTTTAACTTTAAAGAACTCCTTCATATAGCAAAGTTAAAATCTCCCATTTCACCCTATTATTGATGTTCCTTTGGTTTAGGAAGGGGTTCTTTACGGTAGCATGTGTGTAGAAAAGGCTACATTAAAATCAATGATATGTATCATTGATATTCAGTTGTATTGTGTACACCCCTTTAACTGTAAGAAGACCTTTCCTATAGCAAAGTTAGTTTTTTTTTCAACTTCTCATTGATGTCCCCATGTCTTTTGTACATCCCCTTAACTGTAAAGAACCCCTTCCTATAGCAAAGTTGATTTTTTTTCACCTTTATTGATGATCACTTTTTATTTTTTGTACACCCCCTTACTGTAAAGAACTCTACCCAAAAGCTAAACTTAAAATCTACTTTTCAAGTTACCTTAGATTGTACGCCCCTTGAGGGTTAGGGACCTTAGATTGTACGCCCCTTGAGGGTTAGGGACTGATGTGAATGTACAATATACATGTAAAGCTCTGCTTAAAATTGACAGCACTATATAAGTAACTAAAATCAATAAGTTATCATTGGTGTTCACTTTTGTACACCCCCTAACTTTAAAGAACCCCTTCATATATCAGTTAAAATCTTTCATCTCATTGATCACTTTTCTTTTGTACTCCCCCTTACTGTAAAAAAAACCCTTCCTATATCAAAGTTAAAATCTTTTTCATCTTATTCATCATTTTTCTTTTTGTATTCCCCTTACTGTAAAGAACCCTTTCCTATAGCAAAGTTAAAATCTTTCATCTTATGGATGATCACTTTTCTTTTGTACACCCAATTACTGTAAAGAACCCCTTCCTATAGCAAAGTTAAAATCTTTCATCTTATTGATATCCCCATGTCTTTTGTAAACTCTAACTTTGCTATAGGAAGCAGCTCTTTACGGTTAAAGGAGTATACAAATGACATGAGGACATCAATAAGATGAGAGATATTTTAACTTTGCTATAGGAAGGGATTTTTTACAGTTAAGGGGATATAAAAAAAGAAATGGGGGCATCAATGAGAAGTTAAAAAAGAAACTAACTTTGCTATTGGAAGCAGATCTTTACAATTTCTTCATCTTCTCATTGATGACCCCATGTCTTTTTCTACACCCCTTTAACTGTAAAGAACCCCTTCCTATAGCAAAAATAAATCTACTTTTAACTTTCAGTGATGTCCCCCCTTGTCTTTATACAGACCTTGCCTTTAAATAGTTAACATGTTACATTATATTCTTGACTCCATACATAATAGAATGGTAGGTTGTCCTGAGACTTTTAGTTCCCCCATAGTTGCAGAATGGCCTTAGTGACCTCTAAGTACCAGCAGTATAATCAGAGCCGTGTGACCTCTCCAGGTTGGGGAAGATCCTCTCTGAGCCGCCTCTTCCCGGCCGTCTGGATATTCAGCTGCCCATCATCTCGGATGAGTTCAAGTTCCAGGTGTGGCGGAAGATGTTTGTTCCGGGCACTGATGCCAGGTGAGATTCAGGGAGGGGCTTTGGGGTTGGACACACCTGATTGGCCCACATGACACAGAACTAATAATGGTCATCCAGTACTGAGCAGGATTTCCATCATTGTTTGCTCATTGAATAGCGCCCCCTGTGGCCCACAATCAGCGGGGTTCACTTTTCACGTAGTGTAGTCACTCCACCATCAAGGTTTACAAAGTATCCAGATGAACTGCTGGCAACCCAAGGCATCTGCCCGTGCCATTGGTGACCTCCAGCTTCTGTGCCTAGGGAGCATGCGGGGACAAGGTCATCCGGGCAAGGATGCCAAACTGCACCCTCCCATTCGTGATGTGCAGGCTTAGGGGATCCTACGCCCAGCAGTCACCCACTAATCTAAATCACAGCCGCTATCACTACTCCTTTCAGCCTGTAACAGAAGGAAGGTGCCCTCATCCATACAGTAATCCATTGCGCCTAGGGCACTCGCCCCTCCTGCCTGCCCCTTGTCCCTGGGCACTCGCCCCTCCTGCCTGCCCCTTGTCCCTGGGCACATCTCCCTGATGCCCCCCCTCCCTGCACTGCCCCTTGCCTGCCCTGGGGCACTCGCCCCTCCTGCCTGCCCCTTGTCCCTGGGCACTGCCCCTCCTGCCTGCCCCCTTGTCCCTGGGCACTCGCCCCTCCTGCCTGCCCCTTGTCCCTGGGCACTCTGCCCCCCTCCTGCCCCCTGTCCCTGGGCACTCGCCCCTCCCTGCCTGCCCCTGTCCCTGGGCACTCGCCCCTCCTGCCTGCCCCTTGTCCCTGGGCACTCGCCCCCTCCTGCCTGCCCCCTGTCCCTGGGCACTCGCCCCTCCTGCCTGCCCCCTGTCCCTGGGCACTCGCCCCTCCTGCCTGCCCCTGTCCCTGGGCACTCGCCCCTCCTGCCTGCCCCCTGTCCCCTGGGCACTCGCCCCTCCTGCCTGCCCCCTGTCCCTGGGCACTCGCCCCCTCCTGCCTGCCCCCTGTCCCTGGGCACTCGCCCCCTCCTGCCTGCCCCCTGTCCCTGGGCACTCGCCCCCTCCTGCCTGCCCCCTGTCCCTGGGCACTCGCCCCTCCTGCCTGCCCCCTGTCCCTGGGCACTCGCCCCTCCTGCCTGCCCCCTGTCCCTGGGCACTCGCCCCTCCTGCCTGCCCCCTGTCCCTGGGCACTCGCCCCTCCTGCCTGCCCCCTGTCCCTGGGCACTCGCCCCTCCTGCCTGCCCCCTGTCCCTGGGCACTCGCCCCTCCTGCCTGCCCCCTGTCCCTGGGCACTCGCCCCTCCTGCCTGCCCCCTGTCCCTGGGCACTCGCCCCTCCTGCCTGCCCCCTGTCCCTGGGCACTCGCCCCTCCTGCCTGCCCCCTGTCCCTGGGCACTCGCCCCTCCTGCCTGCCCCCTGTCCTGGGCACTCGCCCCTCCTGCCTGCCCCCTGTCCCTGGGCACTCGCCCCTCCTGCCTGCCCCCTGTCCCTGGGCACTCGCCCCTCCTGCCTGCCCCCTGTCCCTGGGCACTCGCCCCTCCTGCCTGCCCCCTGTCCCTGGGCACTCGCCCCTCCTGCCTGCCCCCTGTCCCTGGGCACTCGCCCCTCCTGCCTGCCCCCTGTCCCTGGGCACTCCCGCCCCTCCTGCCTGCCCCCTCTGTCCCTGGGCACTCGCCCCTCCTGCCTGCCCCTGTCCCTGGCACTCGCCCCTCCTGCCTGCCCCCTGTCCCTGGGCACTCGCCCCTCCTGCCTGCCCCCTGTCCCTGGGCACTCGCCCCCTCCTGCCTGCCCCCTGTCCCTGGGCACTCGCCCCTCCTGCCTGCCCCCTGTCCCTGGCACTCGCCCCTCCTGCCTGCCCCCTGTCCCTGGGCACTCGCCCCTCCTGCCTGCCCCCTGTCCCTGGGCACTCGCCCCTCCTGCCTGCCCCCTGTCCCTGGGCACTCGCCCCTCCTGCCTGCCCCCTGTCCCTGGGCACTATCGCCCCTCCTGCCTGCCCCCTGTCCCTGGGCACTCGCCCCTCCTGCCTGCCCCCCCTGTCCCTGGGCACTCGCCCCTCCTGCTGCCCCCTGTCCCTGGGCATCTCGCCCCCTCCCTGCCTGCCCCCTGTCCCTGGGCACTCGCCCCTCCGCCTGCCCTGGCGCCCTGTCCCTGGGCAAACTCGCCCCTCCTGCCTGCCCCCTGTCCCTGGGCACTCGCCCCTAATCCATGCCTGCCCCCTGTCCCGTGGGCACTCGCCCCCTCCTGCCTGCCCCCTGTCCCTGGGCACTCGCCCCTCCTGCCTGCCCCCTGTCCCTGGGCACATCGCCCCTCCTGCCTGCCCCCGTGTCCCTGGGCACTCGCCCCTCCTGCCTGCCCCTCCCTGGGCACTCGCCCCTCCTGCCTGCCCCCTGTCCCGTGGGCACTCGCCCCTCCTGCCTGCCCCCTGTCCCTGGGCACTCGCCCCTCCTGCCTGCCCCCTGTCCCTGGGCACTCTCGCCCCTCCTGCCTGCCCCCTGTGTCCCGGGGGCACTAATCGCCCCTCCTGCCTGCCCCCTGTCCTGGGCACTCGCCCCTCCTGCCTCCTGCCCCTGTGTCCCTGGGCACTCGCCCCTCCTGCCTGCCCCTGTCCCTGGGCACTCGCCCCTCCTGCCTGCCCCCTGTCCCTGGGCACTCGCCCCTCCCTGCCTGCCCCCTGTCCCTGGGCACTCGCCCTCCTGCCTGCCATGCCCCCTGTCCCTGGGCACTCGCCCCTCCTGCCTGCCCCCCTGTCCCTGGGGGCAATTCGCCCCTCCTGCCTGCCCCCTGTCCCTGGGCACTCGCCCCCCTCCTGCCTGCCCCCCTGTCCCTTGGGCACTCGCCCCTCCTGCCTGCCCCCTGTCCCGTGGGCACTCGCCCCTGCCTGCACCCTGTCCCTGGGCACTCGCCCCTCCTGCCTGCCCCCCCCTGTCCCTGGGCACTCGCCCCCTGCCTGCCCCCTGTCCCTGGGCACTCGCCCCTCCTGCCTGCCCCCTGTCCCGTGGGCACTCGCCCCTCCTGCCTGCCCCCTGTCCCCTGGGCACTCGCCCTCCTGCCTGCCCCCTGTCCCTGGGCACTCGCCCCTCCTGCCTGCCCCCTGTCCCTGGGCACTCGCCCCTCCTGCCTTGCCCCCTGTCCCTGGGCACTCGCCCCTCCTGCCTGCCCCCTGTCCCCTGGGCACTCAAACCTGCCTGCCACCCTGCCTGGGCACTGCCCCCTGTCCCCCTGTGGGCACTCGCCCTCCTGCCTGCCCCCTGTCCCTGGGCACTCGCCCCTCCTGCCTGCCCCTGTCCCTGGGCACTCGCCCCTCCTGCCTGCCCCCTGTCCCTGGGCACTCGCCCCCTCCTGCCTGCCCCCTGTCCCTGGGCACTCGCCCCTCCTGCCTCCCCCTGTCCCCCGTGGGCACTCGCCCCTCCTGCCTGCCCCCTGTCCCGTGGGCACTCGCCCCTCCTGCCTGCCCCCTGTCCCGTAGGGCACTCGCCCCTCCTGCCTGCCCCCTGTCCCCGTGGGCACTCATCGCCCCTCCTGCCTGCCCCCTGTCCCGTGGGCACTCGCCCCTCCTGCACTGCCCCCCTGTCCCGGTGGGCACTCGCCCCTCCTGCCTGCCCCTGTCCCGTGGGCACTCGCCCCTCCTGCCTGCCCCCTGTCCCGTGGGCACTCGCCCCTCAATGCCTGCCCCCTGTCCCGTGGGCACTCGCCCCTCCTGCCTGCCCCCTGTCCCGTGGGCACTCGCCCCCTCCTGCCTGCCCCCGTGTCCCCGTGGGCACTCGCCCCTCCTGCCTGCCCCCTGTCCCGTGGGCACTCGCCCTCCTGCCTGCCCCCTGTCCCGTGGGCACTATAACGCCCCTCCTGCCTGCCCCTGTCCCGTGGGCACTCGCCCCTCCTGCCTGCCCCCTGTCCCGTGGGCACTCGCCCCTCCTGCCTGCCCCCTGTCCCGTGGGCCACATCGCCCCCTCCTGCCCTGCCCCCTGTCCCGTGGGCACTCGCCCCTCCTGCCTGCCCCCTGTCCCGTGGGCACTCGCCCCTCCCTGCCTGCCCCTGTCCCCGTGGGCACTCGCCCCTCCTGCCTGCCCCCTGTCCCGTGGGCACTCGCCCCTCCTGCATGCCCCCTGTCCCGTGGCAGCACTCGCCCCTCCTGCCTGCCCCTGTCCCCGTGGGCACTCGCCCCCTCCATGCCTGCCCCCTGTCCCTGAGTGGGCACTCGCCCCTCCTGCCTGCCCCCGCTGTCCCGTGGGCACTCGCCCCTCCTGCCTGCCCCCTGTCCCGTGGGCACTCGCCCCTCCTGCCTGCCCCCTGTCCCGTGGGCACTCGTCCCCTCTGCCTGCCCCCTGTCCCGTGGGCACTCGCCCCCCTCCTGCCTGCCCCTGTCCCGTGGGCACTCGCCCCTCCTGCCTGCCCCCTGTCCCGTGGGCACTCGCCCCTCCTGCCTGCCCCCTGTCCCGTGGGCACTCGCCCCTCCTGCCTGCCCCCTGTCCCTGTGGGCACTCGCCCCTCCTGCCTGCCCCCTGTCCGTGGGCACTCGCCCCTCCTGCCTGCCCCCTGTCCCGTGGGCACCGCCCCTCGCCCCTCCCCTGCCTGCGACCCCTGTCCCGTGGGCACTCGCCCCTCCTGCCTGCCCCCTGTCCCGTGGGCACTCGCCCCTCCTGCCTGCCCCCTGTCCCGTGGGCACTCGCCCCCTCCTGCCTGCCCCCTGTCCCGTGGGCACTCGCCCCCCCTCCTGCTGCCCCCATGTCCCGTGGGCACTCGCCCCTCCTGCCTGCCCCCTGTCCCGTGGGCACTCGCCCCTCCTGCCTGCCCCCCTCCCGTGGGCCCAACTCCTGCCTGCCCCCTGTCCCGTGGGCACTCGCCCCTCCTGCCTGCCCCCGTGTCCCGTGGGCACTCGCCCTCCTGCCTGCCCCCTGTCCCGTGGGCACTCGCCCCTCCTGGCCTGCCCCCTGTCCCGTGGGCACTCGCCCCTCCTGCCTGCCCCCTGTCCCGTGGGCACTCGCCCCTCCTCCTGCCCCCTGTCCCCCTCGCCCCTCGCGGCCTGTGTCCCGTGGCACTAGCCCCTCCTGGACCTGCCCCTCCCCGTGGGCACTGCCTCCTGCCTGCCCCCTGTCCCGTGGGCACTCGCCCCTCCTGCCTGCCCCCTGTCCCGTGGGCACTCGCGCCCCTCCTGCCTTGCCCCCTGTCCCGTGGGCACTCGCCCCTCCTGCCTGCCCCCTGTTTCCCGTGGGCACTCGCCCCTCCTGCCTGCCCCCTGTCCCGTGGGCACTCGCACCTCGGCCCCTCCTGCCTGCCCCCTGTCCCGTGGGCACTCGCCCCCCTGGCCTTCATGCCCCCTGTCCGTGGGCACTCGCCCCTCCTGCCTGCCCCCTGTCCGTGGGCACTCGCCCCGTCCTTGCCTTGCACCCCTGTCCCGTGGGGCACTCTCGCCCTCCTGCCTGCCCCGTGGGAACTGCCCCTGTAATTCCCGTGGGCACTCGCCCCATCCTGCCTGCCCCTTGTCCCGTGGGCACTCGCCCCTCCTGCCTGCCCCTGTCCCCAGTGGGCACTCGCCCCTCCTGCCTGCCCCCTGTCCCCTGTGGGTCAGCTTGAAAACGCCCCCTCCTGCCCTGCCCCTGTCCCGTGGGCACTCGCCCCTCTGCCTGCCCCCCTGTCCCCGTGGGGCTCACTCGCCCCTCCTGCCTGCCCCCTGTCCCGTGGGCCACTCGCTCCTCCCTGCCTGCCCCCTGTCCCGTGGGCACTCGCCCCTCGCCCCCCATTCTCCCGTGGGCCTCGCCCATCCTGCCTGCCCCCAGTCCCGTGGGCACTCGCCCCTCCTGCCTGCCCCCTGTCCCGATGGGCACTCGCCCCTCCTCGCCTGCCCCCTGTTCCTTGGGCAACTCTGCGCTCTCCTGCTACATGCCCCGCTTGTCCCGTTGGCAGCATCGCCCCTCCTGCCTGCCCCCTGTCCCGTGGGGCACTCGCCCCTCCTGCCTGCCCCCTGCCCCGTGGGCCTTTCGCCCCCCCCCTGTTTCCCCCCTGTCCCGGGGGCACTCGCCCCTCCTGCCTCCCCCCTGCCCCGTCACTCCCCCCTCCTGCCTGCCCCCTGTCCCGGGGGCCTCGCCCCTCCTGCCTGCCCCCTGCCCCGGGGGCACCGCCCCCCCTGCCCCCCCCCTGTCCTGGGCACTGGGCCCCTCCTGCCTCCCCAGTCCCGGGGGCCTCCCCCCTCTGCCTGCCCCCTGCCCTGGGCACTCGCCCCCCTGCCTCCCCCCTGTCCCCGTGGGCACTCGCCCCCCCTGCCTGCCCCCGCCCCGGGGGGCACTCGCCCCTCTGCCTCCCCCCGTCCCGGGGGCATCCCCCTCCCCCCCCCCCCCTGCCCCGGGGCACTCGCCCCCCCTGCCTGCCCCCCTGTCCCGTGGGCACCGCCCCTCCTCCTGCCCCCTGCCCGTGGGCCTCGCCCCTCCTCCCTGCCCCTTCCCGTGGGCACCCCCCGCCCCTCCTCCTGCCCCCTGCCCCCCGGGGGCACTCGCCCCTCCCCCTGCCCCCTGCCCGGGGCACTCGCCCCCCCCCGCCGCCCCCCGTCCCGGGGCACCGCCCCTGCCTCCCCCCCCGTCCCCGTGGGCACTCGCCCCTCCCCCCCCGCCCCCCGTCCCGGGGGCACTCGCCCCCCCGCCCGCCCCCCCCCCCCCCGGTCCCGGGGAAACTGCCCCCCCCCCCCCCCCCCCCCCCCCCCTCCCCCCCCTGTCCCAGGGCATTCCCCCCCTTCCCCCCAGGGGCGGACTGAAACTCAGGGGGCCCCCGGGCAACGGGGGATCTTGGGCCCCGTGTCCTTCCCAAAACTCAAAAAAACCCTATGAAAAAGGTACGGGGCATTCATGGGGGCCCCCACTGACCCGGGCCTTGGGGCGGGCCCGGTTTCCAAAGGCGTCCCCCCCCTTTTCCCACCCCTTTTTTTCCAGGGCATCACCCCTCCCCACCACTTGTCCCCCCCCTGTAGGATGCGCTGTAGTTTTGTTTTCGACTTCAAGCCAGGCCCACCCCCAGTTTTTCATTTTTATCTAATACGACATTTTTTCAGCAATTACACCAATCACTGTCCCAAAAAAGGAGCTTACACTCCAATGCCCATAAAAATGCTTGGAGAAGGAATTAATCTGAATTTTTTTGGCAAGAAAAAAAAGTTATAAGAAGAAACCACGCAAACAAGGGAGACATGCAAACTCC